CACAACACCTGCCTCACAAGCGCAAGGTCCTGAGTTTGATCCCCCGTACTGGAAAAAAAAAATGACTGGAGAAGGGCAAGAAACATAGAAATAACTCCTAATTAGCATACATATATTTTATCAGATATATAATTTGAAAATACTTTTTCATTATGTGAGCTAGCTAACTTGCTTTCTTTCTTCTTTCCTTCCTTCCTTTCTTTTTTTTTCAATTAATTTAATTTATTGGTACATTCTAGGTATACAGTACCGTTACATTCATTACTGGGATCCTGTACCTTTACATGCCAGGTCTTGATTCTCATTTTTCCCCTTGTCCCCACCCTCCCTTCACACTCCCTTCCCCTTCCTTCCTTTCTTTTGACAGCCCCTCACTATGTTGCCTGGGTTACTCTTAAAATTCTGGACTTTAGTGATTTCTCCTGCCTCAGTTTCCAGAGTAGCTGGAACTACTCCTTTTAAACTTTGTTTGCCTACCTCCTCTTTTAACTTTCTTGATGGTATTATTTTAAGCACAAAAGTTTATCATTTTGATGAAGTCCAGTTTATCTATTCTTTTAGTGTTGCGTTTAAGAAACCACTGCCTGACCCAAGGTCATGAAGATAAACACGTATGTTTTCTTTTAAGATATTTATATATTTAGCTCTTTGACAAACCACTCTGAGTAGCAATGTATTGGAGTACTTATCTTTCTACACTATCTTAGTCCAAGGAATAATATTAAAAATAATATTAAGTTTGGAATTTCAGCTTCAAATGAGGTCAGGAGGAGGGAGATAGTCAAGAAGGATCTCTTTTGGCTTGCTTGGCTCACTTGGCAGCAACCAGTAGAGTTAAAGCAGAAATGTCAACCTGTCATGTAAAGGTACAAGATCCCAATAATGAATGTAACTGTACTGTATATCTAAAATGTACCAATAAACTCAATGAGAAAAAAAAAAGCAGAAATGTCAAAGTCATAATGGCCCTCAGTTCAAATTCCTGCATTGCCATTTATCGGCAGAATATCTTTCCTTCAGGTTTCAATTAGTCTACTTCATGGAGTTGTTGAAAGGATTAAATGAAATAGTACATTAAGATATTTAACACAATGTTCAACTTACTGTAAGCACTCAATGAAAGTTGGCTGCTGTTATTGTTTGCTGGCAAGCGATCAGATGATAGTGCTATATAAATAGAAATACAAGAAAACTACATAAGAAATCAGTTCCACCAGTAATGGTTTAGTACTGAATTCAAACAGTATTTGACCATGTTTTAAAACACAATTTGGGGGAAATGTCAGTTCTTTTAAAAAGTCAATCTCTAGAGGGCCATAAAAGCTATTTTAATCACTACAACTAATTACAGGGATGTATAAATCAATAAACTTTACTAAATGGTCTAAAATATAATAAAGAAAACCATCATCAACTATCATCTACAAAACCACTGTACTTAATAGTGAGATGATATAAAAGTTGGATGAGAAAAATATCTGAAAACTCTAGGCATTAACATTGCTTTCAGAGAAGTTCTTAATTTAGTACAGGGTCAAGAGTTTTTAGAATGATTATTTGCTTTCGGTAACTCACATTTATTACTTTGAAGTTATATGATATTCATCCTATTATGCCAATACACAACCACGTGCATAAAGGTATTATCAGCACCAAACCAAGGTCACGATCAGTCTTATTCCCTGTCCCTCCTCTTAAAACTGCAACCCTGTTTCAGAACCCGTATCAGTAATGGAGTCAATCTGTGCACAGAAAGCTTTAGCTCTTTTCTCTCAGTTTTGTTATTTGGCTCAAATCTGAGAGACCCAGGGCTATAACTTGAGTTTCCGCACTTAACTTGCTGCCCTTTTCACCAGGAAAGTCAATGCCTAACTGGGTTCTTGAACCATCATGTCCTAGGGTCTAGGACTGGACTTGTTTTCTTCCAACTCTCTTTTTTTTCCAATGGTTTGTTTTCCTATGGCTGGAACTTACCCACAAATGCTGTGTAAACAGCTAAACCACATTACTGTGGATAATGATGATTGACAGCCTCCCACTCTTGGGCTTGCCTGTGCTGCTGAGCTGTTTTCTTATTTGATTATGTCTACACATGTTGTAGCCTGTGTCTAGAGGTCTCCCCAAAACCTGGCCTTTTATTTAGATGTATCACCACCTGAGAAAGGATGCTAAGGGGTAGAAATAGCAATGAAGTGTCAACATTTTCTGTGAGTACTTAAAAGTGACTACCATGAAATGATCTGCTCTGTTTCTTGATTCAAACAAAATAGATGAGATGCATTGACTTACTTAGCAAAAATTTTTTGTGTAGCGAGTGCATGCCAGGGACTGAGCTAACAAGCATTGGGAGATGATGTTGAGCTGGAACATGCACCACTCCCCATAAAGTTCGGAGCACATTACTCCCTCTAAAGAAGGTATAATTAAGAACGGTTTAGATTGTCTGGAGAGAACCCTGTAACATATCAGGTCTTGTGCACTCACCTTGGTAATGAGAGACAAAGAAACTTGCCTCTTTGGGTCTGGAGTCAGCTAGAGTATCCCATTAAATGACATGATTACACTTCCTTACCATGCACCAGCAGTCCTTTCACCTTCCTCACTGCTCACCAAGACTGTCTTAACTTTTAAATGACAGAGCTTCTCTCTGATCATATCCCCTGTAGCTAAGAGTGCTCTTCCTCTGTTTTCCACAGAGCTGAGGCCACACTCATGGCTCAATCTAAGGAAATTGAGATGTGATGTCCCGCGCTCCTTGCCTGTGGCGAACAGACAAGCAATTACTCAGGCATTCTGAGGACTGAAAGCATCAGTCTGAAATGTCTGGTTTGGCTCAACAGGAAATACTTTATTATTGGGCTAGAATTTGTGCTTTGATTTGCTGTGGCCTTTTTCAATCTTATAATTGAATTTAGAATTTAAAAAGAATGTTATTTGCATTCTTTGTATTCTTTATTAGCTAGTATATGGGTTGACCTTGGAATTTTGATATGATAGAACAGTCAAACAAAAGAGCACAGCATTTTTTCTGCTGTCATTTTATGGAGCTAAGAATTTTTATTTGTCCTTCTGAAGAGTGGCTTTATTTTTAGCCCCATGCAGTGCTGTAGATGGATGTCTTGTCTGTTTCCACAGGCAGCTCAAATAATCCAATCATATCCACTTTTAGAGGAAAGCCTTTCTGTTCCAGCCTAAAAGCATCAAACATTACTCAAATAGGGAAAAGGAGCTCACTATCCATAATGAGTAAACAAGTGGGGTAAATGACACGTTTTCCTATCTTATGGTGGACTTCTCTGGCTTTTTCTGTAAAGCTTTTGGGTTTGGGGGTATCATTTTATGGTTACATGGCCAATGGTTAGATTCAAGTGCTTACAGGGCATAGAAACTAAGTCTGATATGATACCTTACGAAATGAGGCTTTCAGGTTATAGGAACAAGGACAGGAGGAATATACAGCTAGGCTTCTTTGGAAACTGGAACTAGGCTGGAGAACTGGAAGGCACCAGTGAAGCTTTACATTATCAGCAGGAGAGGCCAATGGGATTCTTTGCACTGAACATGGCCATGTTCTCAATTTAGAGCTGTGCCATAGTTAATTACTTCAGGGCTCTGTATCATTTTATCTGATCCTAATTTTCCTTTTGCTAAAAAGTCATTTGATGATATCTGTGCACTAATAACTTTTAGACATTTAAAGTTACAATTGAAAATGAAAGATATTTCGAGCTGGTTTTAGAAACTTGTGTCATCCATGTTCAGACACAGGCTCCTCCTGGAAGAAAGGCTCAAAGTAAATCTTTTGTTGCAGCATCTTCATTTTAGTTTCTTCTGGTGGTTGCTGGGAACCTGCCCTTAGATTCCATTTCAGGAGTTAGTTTATATCCCTTCTCTATCCCTTATCCTTTTTAAGCTAGAAAGAAAATCACAAATGAATATCCTTCTTTTGATTTCTTAATGTGTACTATAGTTTGGATAGTGAATGACTCCCAATGGTCCATGTGTTCCAAGCTTGGTGCCCAGGCTGTGGTACTACCGGGAGATGGTAGAACCTTCAGGAGGTGGGGCCTGATGGAAGGAAGTTAGGTAATTTGGGCATGTTCTTAGGGAGATATTTGGATCCTGACCCCTCCTCATTCTCCTTCTCCGTTTCTTGGCGGTCATGAGGTAAGCATGTTTCTCCTCTACACATTCCCACCATGATGTACTGCCTCACTACAGGCTCAGAGGCAAGAGCCAACTGACCATGGACTGAAACTTCTGGGACTGTGAACCAAAATAACCTCTTTTTTATAAGTTGATTTATTTCAGGTATTCGTTACAGTGACAGAAAGCTAACAACAATGTGGCAACCAAGATAAGAAAATTTATCTATATTAAGAACAAATTATGGAGCTTTTTTGGATAGATCATGACGATAGAGCTGGTGAGGGGGACTGCTAAATACCATGGTAATTCATTTTACATGTTTTTGGAAAATCTGTTAAGGGATGCCAATGGTAAAATGCGTGATCAGTTGGGAAGATTGATATTAAACTATAAAATATTTCTGGAGGAATACAGCTTTTATTGAGGGTGGTCCATCATAGGTTTTTTCACAGCCAAAAATTACTTTAGAAATCTTGATTGCGAAGAAGTCACTATTTTGACTTCTGTCTTTTTCACAAAAGGCAGAATTTTTGGCACAAAATGATCACATAGATTTGGATTTAACATAATAGTAAGGAGGAAGCCACAACACCAACTTTGTCATTAACACTTTTGGAAGATCCAGAAGGAATTTGGAACATTGTTTTACCTACACAAAGATCCTAACGTGATGCAGAGGTCTTCAGATGGTGACTAGCCTTTAATAATCATTTTTGAAGGATTTCTGTTTTCAAAAATAATTTATTCAAATATTTTAACGCCAAAATAATTCTAAAAAGCATTAGTTTCTATGAGTTGCCCTCGAGTAAATAAGCATTTAATTACATGAACACAACTAGTACTTCATAGTTTTTTATTATAGACTTTTTATCCACATGAATGTTAAAGAAACTACAACAGTTAAATACCATTTTTGATAACATGATTATATTCTTAATTACACTCAATATTAAACTGTAAAATATTTCCAGAGGAATACAATCTTCATTCATACAGCAGGCAAAGTACCAGCGAGGAAGGGGCCACGCATGTCTGTCCATTTTGCTATGAAAAACAGGTTTCTACGGCTGATGTTTTCTCATCTGTCTAAACATGATTCCTGCTCCTGGGACAGGTCTTCTGTTTTCTTTCCATTAAGATTCACTTCTTCTAGGGTAAAAGACAATCGTATATGCTCTCTCCATATGTACAGAACTGAGACCACTTGGGATCACCCGTGGATTTCCCACCTAGTCTGTTGGCTAACAGCACTTTCCACGTTCTGGATTCGGTTGTCCTTTAAAAACACAAATACTCAAACTTTGGTTCCACCAAAAGATGCGACAAGCATTGACTGTTCTGGTTGGCTCCCCCCTCCCCCCACTAATGAACGGCTGCTACAGTCTATTTTACATGGTTGTCCATGCTGCTTTGAGGTCACTTGTCCTTGGGTTCTCCTGAACCTGATTTTGCATTTGATTCCCAAGTCCTTTCAGTGTGCAGCCTTTCTGCAGGTTCGAAGTGCTCAGTGGCAGGTTGTATCTTACAAGAGAACAAGAGTAAGTGGGTCTGTGCACCTAGGATAAGACAAAAGCACAGAATGATAACCTGAGCATTTTGTAATACAATCAGATAATTAAAAAATGCCTAGAGTAATAGTTACTATACCCTTAATAGAAGATATTTTTAGTATAGTTTCAATATAATTTTAAGAACTGTACCTATAAAAGTGACTTTTCCTTACATGGTGGTCTGTACTCTTAGGTTATGCATCTCTGATAACACTGGGCTCAACTCGATTAAATCAGAATGTGTTGGTTTGCCATTCCTTCTTTAAAGTAAAACCATTTGGCTGATTCTAGAAGCTCTGGTTTGTTGGTGGGCAAACATTAAGACAGCCTACAGTAAAAGTGCAGTGAGAATCCCATACTCTGGCAGACTTTTCCTTGTCTTACAGGGTCAGAGGAATGCAAAGTATGATTGTAGGTTTGTGGCTCAAAATCATTAAGACCATTAGATTGGTTATTAATTGCATATTTGTAACTGTTAATAGGAGATGTAACTTGGGCCACAACTTCAGGTTGTGAGAGGAAAGCAGATGAAGTGCAGACTATAGGATCAGAGCTCAAATCTTTCTACTTACAAGTGAGACCACAGGCAACTTGCTCCTCTCCACTTTTCAGCTTTCTCAGCTATAGGATGGCAGAGGTAGCAGTACTTATCTTAACGAGCCAGTTGGAGATTAAATAATGAGTGGGGGCATATTGTTATTCTTCATAGAGATTCTTGAAAGAACTCGGTTTTCTCATGTCTGGCTAAAGAGTAGAGAAATGGATATACCATTCCTCCACTTGATCTTTGATCATAGAAAAGGAAGGCAGAGCCAGGCACAATGGCACAAGGCTGTAATTCCAGCACTGTGGAAGGCTGAGGCAGGAGGATCACAAATTCAAACCCACCTGAGCAACTTGATGACTTAGTGAGACTCTGTCCCAAAACAAAATAACACAGAAAAAAAAAGCCAGTGATGTAGCTCAATTCAAAGACCCTTAGTTAAATCCCCAGAACTAGGAAGGGGAAAGAAGGCAAAGTGTTCAACAGCAATCCCTCTATGTCCTTTTAAAACTTTTTTTATTATTACTTTTATAACAATAACTCCAGAACTGAAGTAAAAATAATGGACATTCTTAACATGGGGAAAATTTTATAGTCAAGCTCTCCAGAAGAATGCAAAGTAGTAATCAGTGAAGAAAAACTGCAGGCATAAGGCAAAAGTAACTTGGTCAGTCTCCCTTGGCTATTATGCATGGTCTTGACTTGGCTTTAATGAAAGCAGCCTCTTTGGGGTAGGGGAAGAGAATATGGCGGGGTGATAGTCGAAATTTTAGATATGGAAGAAGCTTTGATCAGGTTCAGCCTGATTTATAGATAAGAGTGGGACTCCAAGAGATTAAATGATATAGCTCATAATAAACATAGGGAGGCAGAGTTGTATCTAGAACCTAGTCTTCCTTATCTCCAGCACATCGATCCAAGGAAGGCAATGAAGTGGCTGTGGATTCAAACAGACTAGGATTGAATCCTGGTTCTATTATTTGTTAGCTACGTGAAATCCTGAGCTTCAGTATTCTTATATATGAATAGAGGTTAAAAGCAGGATGTACTTGGTAGGATTATAGGAGCTACCTTACAGAGTTTTAAATTGTAAATATAATGCAGCAAAGAATTTAATCCAGTATGTGCTGGCATAGTTAGTTCCCAATAAAGGGTAGTTATTATCATTTCCAACTTGGCCAGTGGGTATCTTTATTTTTTTGTATCAGGTATCGAACTTGAGTCCTTGCGCTTATGAGGAAGGTGGCAGAACCATTGAGCTAAATCCCTGACCCTTCAATGAGTATCTTTGTAACTATAAATGAGCTATTTTCTATGATTCACTTTCCACTTATACAAAAAAAATTCACTTCTTTTCTGTGAAAAGACAGGGTGTTTCACACTTTTACATGAGTAGTATTTGCGAAATGTTTAGAGGTGCCTGAAAAAAAATGAATATAAAGTGATAATTAAGTCTGTGTTGACATTGTTCCATTACAGATTTTACTGGGGTGTCTTTGTAGAAACCAAATCACAGAGATAACTATAGTCAAGGAAAAACATCAGGAATAATCTGGGGTGAAAATGAGCATTAATGAAAGGATGACACACATGACATTCAGAAGTATTTTTCAAATCTTTTCCACTGTGTCCATGAGCTCATGATACAATACACAGAATAGTATCATGTCTAATTTAATAGTGCTTGTTTTAGGAAGTAGTTTAAAAATAAGTAAAATTACACTTTATACAACTCAGTTAAACAAATAGAATTCACTGCTCTAAAGAGGACTATACATAAGTTGAAAAAAGATTTAGATAAATTTAAAGTTACTGGATATGTAAGGAGCTATCAAGGACAAGTTAAAGAGTATTTAGTGCATATACTTAAGGTTTTAGAATAATAGTAATTTAGCTCTTCTGTTGGAATTATATCTCTGCCCAGGTGCACCACTGTTTTGACTTAGCAAGGAATTTCTTATGTACTAACATAGGGCAAAAAAGAGTTGTGGAGCAGTGATATGTGGCAGTACTTTCTCAGCTTATTAAGTGGATTGCCTGTGGTTTTGAAAAGCTTCCTCCCCTTAATAGTCATATTGGAATCCACTGGGTGGCAAGAACACAGCATACTACCTTAAGGGTCACTCTTGCATAAGACATTAATGCATCAGTCCCTAATTTGGAAACCTGTGGTCACTGAGCAAGACAGTTCTCTCTCCCTTGGTGTAATGATTTTTATTTTGTAATCTCTCTTGGGGTAACTCCTTACAGGCTTGGCATATTGAGAATCAAAGACTGCCTCTAACAATATGGTCGTGATTCTCTGCTTGGCTGATTTAGCTAAGCATTTAAGTAACCACTAATCTTCTGAAAGCACCAGGGTCTACTTAGAGAAATCCCTGTTGTCTGCAAGGATGGAAACAAAATCAGCATGGAGGAAGCATTAGTTACTAAACACAAATCAATCTCTTTTTTTCCACCTAGCCATATGGTTTCAGAGGCATGGTTTCAGGGCAGTGAGTCTTCATTTTAGAGGTGTGAGGCAAACTGACAAGCAGGGTAGATGAACTGGGGAAGTAGAAGGAGTGAAATGAGCATTTACTAACGTTCCTATGCACAAATCAAGCCACATTCTAGTGAGTGAATCTCACAAATGCTAGGTAAAAGAAGCCAGATACAAAAGAACATTCTATACAGGGTTCTTCATGTGAAATTCAAGAACAGGCAAAATTAACCTGTGCTGGAATAGGAGGTAGGAGAAACTGTATAGAGGGCACAAGATTATTAGAGTGCTGGAGGGCTGAGTGCAAATTCACTGAGTTCTGATTTGCAGACCTCACAAATTATATGACTTTATAATATGTAGACTTCATTGAATGTGTTATATTTCAACAAAAAAAGTTATTTTAAAACGAAGGAAATGATACATTTGATACTATTATACATGTATAGTTCATTCCTGCCTCGATTACCTTGATAGTCTAAGCTTTACTGGAATCTAAATGTTCTAAAATTTTAAAAGGATGAAAATGGATTTACTTACTATTTGGGCATCTTTTGCAGAAACATCTACTCACTGAGGACAAAAAGTCCATGCAATTAGGTGCAGTAGGCACTGCATCTAATGTTGGGAGCCCTAGAACTGCATCTTGGTTTTACAACATGGGCACAAAATGTCACATTTCTCCTCTCTGTGCCTCAGCTATCCATGTGCAAAATTAAGGAGCTGCAGACCAAGTTGTTTTGGAAAGAATTTTTAGTGCCTGATGAAATATGATGTAATTATTACAGTATTTAAGACAAATACTGAGAAAACACCACTACTGAAGATGAGAGGAAGATAGAGTGTCATCCGCAAGAGTAGTTGTGATATGCGCAAGAGAGGCATGAAGGGAAGAAAAGGAAGCCAGAGCCTGCATGTGAGGAAGTCTATTTTGCTGGTAAACGCCACAGAATTGAGCTATGTTCTGGAGAGAAGGAGCGGGAAGAAACATTCTGATGGGAATGGATCAAACTGATAAATGGCCAAAATCCTAGTTGACCCCAAGCAATTACAAATGCTACCTCTAGAATCAGAAAATTTTCCTGACTTAGCAATTCTAATTGTTAGCACATCTCAAAATATTACAAAAACAAATGTCCTAGTTTTCGCATTTCTACAATTTTAATAAAAGCATTTTTCTTCTTCCACAGAATCAAAAAAGTTGCTTTTGGAAGGCAGCTTTGCTCACCATAATACCAAAATAAAAAGTTGCTTTTGAAATGCTTAGACAACTGATAGTCTGACTGAATTTTCACTGTCTGCTTTTCCTTAAGAATCAAGAATATCTATCTTTTAAATTGTTGCCAGGGATATGACCTTGAACCTGGCTTCAAAGGAGAGAAACTCTTATTTGTTTAGGTAAAAAATGAATTATAATTCCTAGGACATGTCTCCAAGGTGGATACTACCCCTAGCTGTTCCTGTCACCATCTACAGTAACTCACTAAAAGTCAGGCAAACTTTTTGGAAGCAAAGGAGAGACAGAAGATGAGGCTCTGTAAGCGTGACTGATGACATTCTCAAGGGGCAGTAACTAGGGTGTCAAAGAGCAGATAACCTCAAAATAAAATGTACATCACTTCCACCAACTGAATATAAGGTTTTTCTTTTTAAGATTTCAGAATTTATAGGAAGCACTTAACCATTCATTTAGGAAGTCCCATTGCCAGATATAATGAAGCTCACTGGTATGCTGACTTAAACACTGGATCTAACTTTACCAATTCCTTAAGCTCTCTCAGACCTATCAATAAAAAGCTCAGCCAGCCATAACAACACAAATTGTTAAGCAAATCTCTTCCCTTTGGTAATCTCACCTTTTAGCTTTTGCTGAGATGGGCACCAAGCTTTTCTTTCCTGATCAAGCTTGCTGCATAGGGAATCTGTAAGACAGAAAAAGAAAAAAAAAAAAAATCAAAACTATCCAGGTGAGCTAAATTCAGAGACAGATGTGTAATGGACATCCTTCATCATGCCTAACGAATTGACTGTCAGTGGACCTCCTAATGGAGAAGAGGTCTCCATCTATTCAGCAGCATGGGGCATCTGGGGTACAGCATTCCTAAAGGCCTTGTTAAAAAAGCTCGTTGAGAACACAATAGGTGATCACACTGGCTTGTTGCTACAGCTAGTCCCTGAAGTTAGCATGTCGTATTTTACTTTTAAAAGTTTTTGAATTTTGCATTTAATAGCATGGTAGTGTTATTCTTTATTTAGATATGCAAACTGAATTACAGTGTTATATGTCCAAGGTCATAAAGCAAGAATGTGAGTACAAACTAATTAAATGTAATCCTCTAGTCTATTGAAATGTTTTCTTTATAAAGTATACTGTCATTATACATCACAATTCTAAACACAAAGGATTATTTTGAGTAAATTCTCAATAACTAATAAGAGCATTATAAATCAATGAACTAAAGAAAAAAAAAACCATAATCCTTGAGAATTGTACCTGGATAAACATGAAAAGCATTTTTGAATACTGGGGTTGTGAATGACAGACTATCTCATTTGATATGCTGCTTTTCATTAGAAAATTCAAATGGTTGAAATTAGACTACATATATTATTTAGATTTGCCTCTTCACTAACCCTGGTTAAGCTGATGTATTATTATGTTACCTACCTGCATCATTACAAGGCTAAGCAGGACTCTAAAAATTTGAATCTATTTTACATCTTAAGAAATAAATATTCATCCTTTTAGAATGTAATGTGAAACATGGCTGTTTCATAAAACCAGCGAGAAAAATAAAATTATTTTCACTCAATTAGGCAATATTTTAAAGTTCTGCTGTGTGTACATCTCTGTATTCTTGGCATTTTACTGGGAGTATATTTTGCTCTCTTGATCTAGTAGACTACAAATAAGAACCTTTCCTCATGGGAAGGAGCTACCAATTTACAATAATGCTAGTGATTAAGATGAACTGAACCATTTTACCCTAATAGCAGGTCACTTGAATAACAATTTTTTAATGGAAAAAAAAAACATTAAAATAACTATCTCACTATTTTGAAACACAGTTACAAACTATGCATATCTGACACATACCTATCTGATAAAGGGTACAGATAGCAGTATTGAAATTAATGATTCATATAGTAACATAAAAAGCTCAGTGTCCTAATCTCATATTTTAGGACATGGCTGAGATCAGCTGGATAACTATGACGAGGATAATTACACAGGGACCTACTCTAGTTACCTCTTCTTTTCACTGTAGGTTATGCTATACCTGCTATTAATACAGACACCATGAATCTTAGTTTTCCATTCTGGTGTATGCTACAATTTTTCAAATCACATGAGTCACCTCTCTTGTTAGATGTATAATATAACAGAATCTTTGATGGAATTCTATTACTTAATTCTGTTATAATTATAAATTATATAAATTTGGGGACATGCTGACTTATCAATAGAATGTATTTGTGCACACTCACATTTATAAAGAATCCTTGACATCAAGATTAGATGCCTGGTCTTAGTATGTAATCTGGTCTGTGCCATGTACCATCAGAAATAACATCACCATGAACCACTCATTAAAGTGAGTAACTAGTAATCCTCATGCAAAGGTAACTACTAGAAGGGCACTGTTGTCAGAACTAAGTCAGAGTAGTCTCCTTTTTCCCAAAATCAATAAAACATTTCATTAAGGTAGGAAGCTGTGAAGAAAAGTGAAAAATAATGACATTTCCAAGTAAACACATTTGAACCCTAAAGCTCAAGACTAGAGTTTAAATTGCTACAAAGAATTATCCCCACACAGACATTGATTTCTGGGTTTATTGCCTTTAAAAAATGAGATAAAAGCCATACAACAGAGACAAAAGAGCAAAAAGTTGTGAGCTGAACTTCATGTGTTGTAAATTCAAAGTGCTAAATCATGAACAATAAGTAAAGACAATATTAGCACATAACCCATTTGTTCAGGAAAACTGCACTACTGCAGTGATTTCAAGAAATATTTTATCCCTTCGTATTTTAGCATCTCTAACATCAGATACATTTAAGAGATGATATTTTAAAATTATAGTTAGAAGCCTTTTTCTTATTATTCCTCAAGTAATGATACAATTTACAATTAATTTGTTTCAGAGTCCATAAAACACAATATTGGATTTACAGACACAGTAGCAAACACCACTGGTTCCTGAGCTCAAGATTCCAGAGGATCTGTTTAATCTAGTTGTACCATAGAAATGTCCTACAATAGGACTTACAAAAACTCTCTGTTCATTTTTCACTGGTTTGGAAATCATCAGTATTGGCATGGAAAAACTGAAGTAACTTCTAAATTACCTAGTTAACTAACATATTAAAACTACTGTGGTTTTACCAAAAAGATCACTATCTAGTTTGTGTCAAGAGAGCACCTAAACTGAGAAACTCAAGTGAGTCAACATCTTAAAGCAAGAAAAATGAGAAGAAAGCTATGGAACTAGGCACAACTGAGTGCACTGTCAAGATACATGGCAGTACATCAATAACTGGGAAAAAAGGCAGAGTAGCACAAGTTTGTCTACTGCTAGAGAATGGTAAAGAAGATTGCAAAGAGGTTCAGATTTGCATCAAGTCCTCTGACTTGCAGGGACCTCCTTTTGATGCATCCTCAAGACACAAAAGTAAAATCCTCTAGTGGCCAAGAACTACCTTTTAACAAAAGTACAATACAAAATAGTAATGGTTCTATCTGCTTAAAAAAAAAGATATAAACATATTTTTAAAAAACTCTTTGGGTTGAGACCATAGAAATCTGGGCAAGTTCCCATCCTAATGAATACTGGAGAACCTCCAAGAAAAGACAGTTCCACTGAGGAGCTGTCCCTGCCCAAGAGCCAGTGCTCGCCAGAAACGATAAAGACCTATCACTCCTTTTCCTGCAAAGAAGCGTTGTGCTCCCACTATCGGGAAGTGGAAAACTGCTTTTTTACAAGTCCACAGTGAACAAAACATTAGTATTAAATCTATTGATCGAGCATTATTTTAATTGAGGCTTTTAATGAAGAACTTTGAGACCGGTTCCTAGTAGCTGCATGTGACTGCAGCTTTCTGTACAAACAGCAGAGGGCACTTTAAGACTAGCACATTTTCTCCATCTTGGTGCCTCCTGGTAGCTACCCGGTAAATTAAAGGATGTTAGTCTGTGTTTAGCCTTTGATCCTGTGCCCTGTGCTGCAGCTTTACGATTTTATTCAAGAACTAGGACTAATAAAAAAGCACATCTTCAACAACATTTCGGTAATAACATTTACAGATGTACTTGCTTAAAAGATGATGCCAAGTTAGCACTGAAAAAAAAAAGTATCAAGGTATTTTAATAGTTCCAGTTCATGTTGTAAATCATTAGATTTCAATCCTTGGAAAAAAAAGCTCAATTAAAAAGTTTTCTTGGCCGGGGATTTAGCTCAGTGGTTCCACTGTGTGCCTCGCAAGTGCAACGTCCTGAGTTTGATCCATGGTACAAATAAAAGAAAAAAAAAAGTTATTCACTGAGTAAAATATCTTCAGCTTCTTCCTAGTCCTAAGGGGCAAAGGTTTTGTTTCTTAAGTTGAACACATTTCTCCTAGAATTACAATTCATTTGTAAATGACAAATCCTTTACCCTCTATTAAACATATGCATTTCATGAATTTGCTAAATTTAAAAACTTTTGTGTTTGATTAATAGTAAGATATATTTCTTTGTTTTGGTAAAATAAATATAGCTTAATAAAGAAAATAAGCATTTGAAAATCTAGAGCATGGACAGGGGATCTTAACAGAAACTATGTCAAGTAGTAAAAAATTCAAAATTTACACTATTTTTAAAACAGCTAGCTTGTGGCCATGCATAAATGTTAAACAAACTAATTCTGAATGTGCTTTAAATCACATTGATATATGTACACATTTATTTATAAATGCACAAAGAGTGTTGATCCTCTGACTCTATAGTTATCACAAGTTTGCATTTAACAAACTGGAAAAAGAAATACTGGCACAGAAGTTACAGTCAACAGAGAATCTAAAAATGTAGGATCTGCAGAAATTCATAAGTTTTCTTTTTATGGCAATGATACCCAAGATGCTTTTGATGTAAGTCTTTTGAATAGGAACACTGTGTAACAACATAGGATAAATGTATTGTGAGTCAATGGGAATCATTACAAAATAAGATGGTTTTAATATATTTGTATTCTCCAAGATAGGGTAGTTATAAAATTTAATCTAAAGAAAAAATGTCTACTCTGTAATATATGATATTGTAAACTTTAAATATAAAATAATTTTGAGTGGATTGTTCTGTGCTTTGAAAGCAAAATATTTACTGATGGATGAAATCATTCAACTAAAATATTGAGAAAGCCAATAACTGTGATACTTTTCAATGCCTAGAATTTTCTAAAGACATTTCCCCCCAGGAAGTTTACTCAATCCATAAATCTGAAAAAGAAACTTGATACATTACTGTTCTAATAACATTGAGCCTGTTGTATCAATTCTTTTTTTTTTAATTGAGTTTATTGGTACATTTAGGGATACAGTACAGTTACATTCATTGTTGGGATCATGTACCTTTACATGGCAAGTCTTGATTCTCATTTTTTTCCCCTTACCTCTGCCCTCCCTTCACCCCCTCCTCCCCTCCCCATCTAGAAACACTTTATTTTCATCTTTTCATTCTCTCACATTTTTTTCTTTTCCCTTTTTGTTCTTCCCCTACGTATCACACCTTCCCTACATCTTTAGCTCCTTTCCTCCCATTTCTAAATGTCAGTAATCTTATTAGAATCTTATGCATTGTTGCAGAATATTCACACCAGGGAAACTATTCGGTATTTACACATGTGTGACTTATTTATTTCACTTAGGAGTATATCTTCAATATGTTGTATCAATTCTAAAGCATACTGTGTCATTCAAACATGGGTCCTTCCCACACAAAAATATCTCTAGCTACCAGGGCTTAACAAGTTACAAGTGGTAATATGAGAAGGGCCATTAAATTGATCACTCATATTGACATAACATTTTACAGCCTGCATATGTATTTCATGTCTATTATTCACTTTCACCTTTTAATATCCCTATCAGATTGAGCCTTACAACAGTTCCCTTTGGAGAAAAGTGACATGAACTATATGGGATGAGTGTTGAGTTCACATTTTACAGACCTTAAAGATCAGGGTTTTTAGTTGTAGACAGTACAGTAGTAATACATAAATTCCCCATAATTCACTAGTATGTCTTCCTTTACTAGTTGTGGTAGAAGTTGTTAAGCATGTAAAAATCTAACAAAAAAATGTATGAAATTACGATGAAACTAGTGAAATTTGCAAGGGAAGTAAGAGGACTGTTTACAGACTATCAGAGTGGTGTCAGGGGGATACATGGGTGGTGATTCATCTGATTAATGCTTATTCCTAACTATTTGGTGCTAGATTCTGTTCTGGGCGAAGGAGATGGTGTCCCAGCAATCTTGTGGGAGGGGACATAAAAGATGGGAAAGATCTCTTGTTGTTAGTGTATCTTTGTGAATTTCAGGAATCAATATTACCTACAGGGCTGGAAGGAAACAAATTTAGCTTCTCTCAGACTGTTTCATTAGCTATCAGGAATGCTTTACTATTAAGAAGCATGTGAATGAATAAAACTGTCTAGATTGATTAATACATGATGATAAAGGATTTTGTAATATAGCATAATAAAAATGTTTAGTAATCCCAATTTGTATCTTCCAGGTACCAAACGTCTCAAAAGACATGAGACATTTTTTCTTCTATCAATACTGTCTGCAATTTCCTCTTTTACTAAAGCAACCAAATGTCAAGGAAAATTAAAACATTAAGGTTATATAACTGGCCTTTAAATGAGGCACTGAAATAAATACCTAATTTTCTTTTCTAATGCCCATTTTACTACACTTGCCACTAAGCTGAAATTGCAGTTTTGTTTCATGTATGATAACTTTTTTTAAAAAAAACATGAAAATAATGGCCTGTGTAAAATAAAACCTTAAAATTTTATATTGCTCTACCTCTACTCTTATACTTAAATTCTTTCTCTAGACAAACAATAAGTATATTTACAGCAAGTAATTATAGATTTTATTATCTAGAAAACAAAAGCTAAGAATTGTAGATACATTTTTTTAACCTTCTGTGGGGGATTTATTATCAATTGATTAAGAAAATCATCTGCCCTCCAGTAAATTTAGATGCAGGCACAACTAGCACACAAGAAGAAAAATGCTACTTCGTGTGGTGGCATACATCTATGATCCCAGCTACTCAGGAGGCCGAGGTGGGAGGATCATACAGTTGAGGCCAGCCTAAGCAATGTAGTGAGACCCTGTCTTAAAATTTAAAAAGAAAGAAAGTAAAAAAGAAAGAAAAAGAAGAGGAAAGGTAAGAAGGAAGACAGGATTCTATTGAAGTGATATCTTTTGTAGATGTTCTCAGGAAATCAGGAAGACTGGAATGAGGAGTGTTAGAGCTATAAACAGACTTTTTAAAACTGAGGCCCCAGAATAAAAAAAAAATGAGATGATATCCAAGATTGTTTTAAAAATGACTCTCATGAATCTCCATCAACACAAGCCTGACTTCTGTGACACAGAAAGGAAATATTAACAACCATGTTTCTTAAATAATTCTGATAGAGAAGTAGCTCTTGAGACAAGAAATGCACAGACACATGCTTAATGGAGTAAGGGTAACGTAGATCAGCTCAAAAGTATCAAGCAACCCAAATTAAATAACCATACTGGAAGTATCACTAAGGATCAGCCTACATCTTTATCTAGGTGATTAAAAATATTTCAAAAACTCTGAGCAGAAATTATTTCTCCCATTGTACTCATGAAAATGAGGAAGCTTGGGAGTCTGCTTTAAAAGCGCTAATTAATATAACAAATATGTCTTCTGGGGATAAAGGGTGAGGAATTCAGGAAGCAAACACACAAACAAAAACTCCAAACAAAACCCCTACATTTATCAGACATTATTCTGTTTTCCCCCCTGTATAAATAGATCACCTTTAGGAATGATTAGGATAGAGTAACACCCTTCATTTAGAAGTGATTTGTTTATTTTTATTGTCCTTCAAGAGAACGTTATTCATTAATTGCATGTATACTAAATTCTGGTGGCCATGGAGGGTCCTGCTCAGGTATGGGCTGTGAGAGCAAAGGCAGGGACAAAGACAGTGGCCTTTCTCTGAGCTCCTCCTCCATCCCAGCTCTGTGCTTGTAAGTTTGCACGCAGGTACCTCTGGCTTACCCACAGAGACAATTTACACATCTGTCTATTAACACATGTTAGGTAGTTACATTTAGAGGAAGCATACTGACACATCTGTTTACCCTGTGCCTAAGTAAATCTCTAGGTAATTAGCAGCTAAACCAGCTGAGAGGTAAGTGGACCAAAGGGTTTCCTGGCAAAAACATAGACTGTCTCATATGTATTGGCTGGTTTGAAAACAAGCCAATCAAATTGCATTTATTTTTAAGTAGAAACACATCTTACAATTTGTAACTGTTGCACCATTTCTTCACGGTAGGCTAGTTCCCTTTTCATCTGATCCTGAAAATTATCTGGCAGGAGAGAGAAACAGAGAAAGAAATTAAAGGACAAAGGGTACTTTTAGTATAAAATTAGCCCTCTGTAACTGAGGGTTCTGCATCCATGGAGTTAAACAAACTAGGGTAAAAAATACTTTTAAAAATTACATCTTTACTGAACATGTGCAGATTTTTATTGTCATTATTTCCCAAACACTGTGGTATAACAAGTGTTTATATAGCATTTACATTGTATTAGGTATTATTACCCTTGTAATTATCTAAAGGTAATTTAAAGTATATGGAAGAATGTGCATAAGTTATATGCAAATACTATGCCATTTTACATAAGAGATTTGAACATCCATGCTATCTGTAGGTATCTTTTGGTATCGGCGGGGGTCCTGGAACCAATTCCCTATTGACACAAGGAATGGCTGTACCTAGTAAAAATACAGCTGAAAATTCCAGAAAGAGGCTCCCCTCACTTATTTTTTGAAATAAACAATAAGGTTTGAACATTCTGTAACACAAGTAGACTAGTAAATTCTAATCGGGTAAGGTCCACACCTTATATTTCACAGAATACCCCACCAAGTCTATTCCTTGCATATAAGAGTTAACGGAAATGTCATGTTCTCTAATGTGACACAGCACAAAAACTTTCACTTTCTTCAGAAGTCCAGTGCCACTGAGGGAGTGGACCTTAGAGAGAGCTTCCCACAGGAAATGCTCACGGTGCTATGCAATGTCTTCTGGGTGAATAAGATGTAGGGAAATGCTTGCTTGGCTTCCCTGCAGGTCATTGCTTTGGTACTCCTGCCTGACTCTCCCAACTAGCATCCTCCTCACTCATTTTAGCCCTGTCACAGTTCTCCTATGACCTGGTGCTGTTCTACAGACATGGCTTCAGTCTGAGAAGGAAGCAAATTTAAGAGATATTGTTATACAAAACTAGTATTGCTATTTTACATTATTGATCACTTTCATTAAGGAAAGGAATGACTTCCAAATGAATAGCACAGTATTGTATCTTTTCCATGTTTTGTTGTGGTTGTTGTTTTTGGTACCTGGTGATCGAACTCAGGACCTTGGGCTTATGAGGCAGGTACAGCATCCCTGAGCTAAATCCCTGCTCCTATGTGATCTTTAAAAAATGAGTAGACTTGGCTGATTTGGGCTCTTTCTGCCTTAAAGGAAAAACTAGGATGATTTCACATTGTATTTGTGGTTAATAGACAGGGCAGCAGTTTTAAGCAACCAGAAACTTCATCCTCAACTTTTCCACTCTTCCTTCTACCTCTGCACCCATGTGTTCTACCTCTATCCCTCCCTTTTTGTCTTCATTGTTATCTCCCCAATGTAGGCACCTCTTCCCTCAGTAGCTTTCTGATGGATTTCATGACTCCAGCCTCTCCTTTTACAAATCCCTTTCACTCTCCTGCTTAAAAATCTTCAAAAGTTTCCTATCACTTTCAAGATTACCAATCCTTTGGTACTCATGAGATTCTGGGTACTTAGAGAGATTAAAAGTCTTTGTTTTTTTTTTTTATTTTTGACTTTTACCTTTGTATGATATTGGAATTCCTTCCCAGGTCTAGCATGTATTTTAATTTATTTTTTTAAAAAGACTGAATCCCTACTCTCACCTCTGAATGTAATGTGGAAAATGTCGTATCAAAGGGAAGGATGTGGTGCAACGTGAGGATGGAAGGAGAAGCCTTTATTCCCCTGCAGAGTTTAGAGGGAGGATTGCTCGAGCAGGATGCAGGGCAACGGGAACCAGCCCATCCCAAACTGCTCTGGTTCCAACACCATGCCCCACAGTGTGGCCCATATGCTTCCAGGAAGACTAGTGTATTTCCAGATGCAGACAACCCTAGACACAAAGTATATCTCCTTCTGGGAAGGACAGAACTTTCCTCCAAGCCTCAGTAGGTTCCTTTGTCTGAGAAATTCGAGGTACCTCTCACTACAGTGGTAAACTGGCATGGTCTAGTAATAGGGGTGACTGGAGCTGACCTGTCTGGAGCGCCTCCCCAGGACCCCAAGAAATTCTGATCTGGGAGAAGAAACGGCTATTGAAAATACAAAGTGCAAGGATGAAAACTACTCCTTACCTAATTCATGTGCAATGCTGTTACTATGGTACTTAATACAATTATGTAAGATGAAAAGAATTAAGCCATTAAAATATTGGGGAAAGTGGTATTTTTGCAAGGTTGGAGTGGGGAAGGGTATCAAAGAGAAAAACCAAAAAGGAAAAGACTGATGGATTCAATTAGGAATAAAATCTTTGATAAGAAAATAGATCACAAATTAAACTCTTCAAACATAACACACCATAGTTAACATTAGAAGGTATTGATAGTAACCAAGAATATTTGTAACATGTCTCCAAATTAATATCTTAGTACCATATTTAAGAAGTTCCTACAAATCAGTAAGAACTTGAACATATCTAAAGGAACATGGACAGAGAATATAAAATAAGGATTCACAAAACATACAGATGAATGAAAAGTGTTCAACATGTCAGCAATGAAAGATAAACAAATAATATGAAAGACCTCTTCCATTTAAGATAGTAAAGATTAAAAGATATGTGTGATCCCAGGGATGGGAGTATAAATTAGTATGCCCTTTCTAGAAAGTAACTTGAAATTTGAAGGCTTTAGAAGTTCATACCCTTTCACATAGCAATTGTTTTAGGAATTTCTCCCAAGGAAATAATAATGAATACACTCAAAGGTTCAATTTCAAGGATTTCTGCCATCTGAAACTTGGATAAACCATAATGTCCAACATCAGAGGGTGGTGCACATGTGTAATCTCAACACTATGAGAGGCTGAGGTAGAAAGACCACAAGTTTGATGTCACCTTGGGAAACTCAGTGAGACCCTGTCTCAAAATAAAAAATGAAAATAAGGGCTTGGAGGTACAGCTTAGTTCAAAGGCCTTGAGTTCAATCCCCAGGAGCACAAAAATAAAACAAGTGAACAACAACAACAACAAAATGACATTCATAGACTCTGTGTAGAATGAAAAGAGCCACATTTTAAGGAGGGTAAAAACGGTGGGTGCTATATAATGTTTCATTTCATTGAAAAAAAAGAATTAATATGTATTAAAAAGACTGAAACTCCAAAATGTTAACATTGGTTATTGTTAAGTATCAAGATTATGAGTGACTTTTTTTTCTTCTCTTTGTATTTCGGTTTAAATTTTCTTATAACATCCATACATACAATTTTGAGATGTAGAGATTGTCAACTGACAAATAAAAACTTTTAGCTATTTTCCAAAGGTTAATTAAAAATATAATTTAACTGGAGAAGGAAGGTCATTAAAATTATTTCTCTGGTGGGAATCACTTAAAACTCAACTATTTTTGGAAAAATATAGTATAAATAAAGGTAGGAGAAGAAAGCACTGCCGTGCCACAGGGCCAGTAGCATGGTGGCAAGGTCTCTGCACAGGAATGAGACACCCAGAAAGGCAGATTTCTAAGCAGCAATGAGAAGTATTCAGCCTACACTCTGGGAGCCCTAAGGAAGAGGAGACCCTGTGGCACCTGGGTCCTACTCCTCCAGCATTAGGCCTGAAGGCTTATTTTGTGTGTGTTGTCTTCATTTTGTTATCACTGTTTTCAAACAGCTATGAAGATTTTCAATCTTTTCTCTTTTTTTCTTCAGAGTGGATAACTTTATTGTTAGCCATTCTGGCATCTTTTTTGTGTGTGGGGGCCAAAAATAGATATATCCAAGAAATACATTTCATGTTGAGTCACAGCATGGACTTTCAATCTTTTGGACAGTATTGTGGACCCCACTCCAGCCCCACCCAGAGGATGCTGCAAAAGGAGGAAGGAAGGAAGGAAAGCCCTGAACACAAAAAAATAGACAATGACAGTTACAGATGAAAGATGCAGACAACCAGGTCCAAGCAGAGGAGTGTGCTTGTATAGTAATCATAGTAATTTGAAATAGTGATTCTTTATAAGAATCTAAAATGATGACATTTAGATGAAATCTACTAAGGTTTCTCTTGGGCCCCAGTCATTATCCTTCTGCATAGTAACCTTTGCCTTTTCATTTTTTTCTCAAGTACCGTAAGTCCATTCCTAAACCTACAGAAATGAGGACACAACCCATGAGCCCTGGCTAGGCTCCTTTATACAGCAGTCTTCAGGGATCCAGTATCACTCACTGCTGTTAGTTTTGTTTTCCCCAGTACTGGTGATTAAACATGGGGAGAGCTACATTTTCGGTCCTTATTTTATTTTTAAATACTGTTTTTGGAGACAGAGTGTTACTAAGTTGCTAAATTGCTCAGGTTGAACTTGGAATCTTCCTGCATTAGCTTGCTTCCCAGAGTGCTGAGATTATAGGTGTGTACCACCATAATCAGGTTCACTGTTTTAATCTTTTCCAACATGACACCAACCCTCCTAGTAACCATTTCCTATGAGTATGTCACAGATCCACAATGTTCCGGGTGCTAGAGGAAGGAACAGAGGAAAGTTTGAGCAGCTCTTTCCTGAACCTATTTACAGTGTAGCAAGGTAGACTGAATATCAGGAGTATTAAGAGTGAAACAGTCAAGCCAGGAATTTAGCTCAGGGGTGGCTGCCATCTGAGTCTAAGAGCAAGCCCCCCAACCAAAGAGCAGAACAGTCAGAAGGAGAGTCAATACAGAACTTGATGGAACCAGAAATACAATTAGGAGGATGTCAGGAATGGGAACCCTACTACAAGACTGGGAAACCTTCCTGAAAATGGCGAGGCATGAGGTGTACACAGGATATGGAGAAAGACCAGCCCTGGGGGGTCTTCTAGAGACACCATGTGCAGAGAACAAAACAAGGAGAGGGAGTCACATTTAGCTGGAGCTGACAGGGGAACAAATGGAAATAAAACTGGAGAGACATCATGGACCTATTATATAGGGTTTTGAGAATTAGGAGTTAACATAGCTATAGCACAGTAAGAATCACTACAGATCTGCTGCCTGCCTCACAAGCACTAGGTCCAAGTTCAATTCCCAGTACCAAAAAGAAAAAAGAAAAAAAGAATCAGTATAGCTTCTTCTTTGGAATATTTGCTGCAAAACATAAAAGTTTTGGGAAGGCTAAGATAAGAACAACAGGCAGGGAAGGCTGTAGAAAGGAAGGGAAGTCACAGGGCACCGACTTACTGCCACCATTAACAGATTGCATGCAGGTGGTGGATGAGGTGCTGAGGGAATACAAAGAGATCAGTGGGAAGATAGTAAAGTGAAGGAAGGATTAACATGTTAGAGAGGAAGAGGAAATAGATTTTCTAGATTTGGTGAACACAATCTGTTGGCAAAAATGATTTCTGGATTTAAAGCTGCAAAACTGATCAGATCAGTCATGTGTTTCTGGGAGCGCTGTGCTGTAGATCACTATGGCTGGGCATAACTTTCCTCCTCCAGTGGATGAGGCAGGGCCCTGTAGGAGAACAGGTGACAAGAAGGTGTGGCAGAGCCGGGCCTCGCTGAGAAGAGGATGTGCCTTCCTCCCTGTCCATTCCTCATAAAACCATCAAAGCATGATGTTCTGCAGACCTTAGGTATGCTCCTGGTTCCAGTTAACAGGCCGTAGCAATGCACTGTTAATCTTCATATGTCAACTTCACTGGATTAAGGAACACATAGCAGATTAGTAGAGCACACTCCTGGATGTGTGTATAGGTGGGTCAGGGAAGTATAGTCTTGGGTCCGCACAGGTCCTCTGGTGCTGTTCCCCAGCTCTGCTTCCTGGCCATCATGAACTAAGCAGCTTTGCTCCATCATACCTTTCTGCCATGTGGTTTCTGCCTTGAAGCAGAATCTGAAACTGAGCTAAATTAAACCTTTCCTTTACCTTGTGGGTCACAAGTATTGTGTCTCAGTGATGGAGAAGCTGACTAATACACTGCTCTATGTCCAAGATTCATTCCCTCATTAACCCTCCAAACCACAAGCTCCCCAAACTCAGTATTTGGTTCTAATTTTAGAAATGTTTTTCTAGAGCTTAATTCCAATAGCCTTCTCTTTCTCTGGCTGGTTCATAATCACCATTATCACTGGGACAGTTACTAAACACTTATCCTGTGCTGGGTTCAAGTATCGCATCTCACAGGTATTGTCTCATTTTGTCTTCTCAACCTACAAAACAGGAATTATCTGCACCATTTTACAGTTTCCAAGGTCAGACAATCATTAAGGAGCAACAAACTCAGGTCTGGTAGATTTTTAGCCTTGACTCCTAATTGTCATATGCTACAAGCTCATAGCTGAGGTCCCCAGTGCTCTAAAGACCTGGATTTTATAACGTGACTGTGTTTGTCCACCTCCTAGTACCACACTGTACAACCTTCTTCCAGAGATTCATCTATGATTCCTTTTGATGCATCTTTACAAAGTTTGGTTTTCCCCATTTCATCTGAGCAAACCCAAATCTGTCTACAAGCCTCATCACCTCTCACATTAAATTAACAAACACATAATGTGTGTTTGCTATTTTCATCCCTGTGAAACTGACTGCCTCTTTGTGGTATTTGTAAACCATGTATTATTCAAACTTGGGTACACACATGCTACTACCTTGGTCAGCAGAGTATATTATTATAAAAGTGGAAATTTTTTGTTGGTGTTTAATTTTCATGTTTCATATGTGTGGTAGTCACAAATGATTCATATTAATTCAGATCAAAAAATGAATTAAACTGGCCTGTTGTAGTGCCTTAACATTTTAAAAAAACAGAAGCATGTACATGTTGTGTGACAGAAAAGATACTAAGAAAAATTTCTAAATTATTGTGAATTACTTAATTCATTAAAATGATAATTAGCTTTTATTAACAGGATAAGTTATGGCTACACTGGTCTCACAGAAAGCTAAAAGGGCAGGTTAGAGATTCAACTGGACTTGGACCCACTCTCCTGGATCTGAAAGCAGGGCTCTGCAAATTCAACAGTTGGATAAACACGAGCTGTGGAGAAAAAAATCATCCCTTGCTCATTGCTGCAAGGAACTGTAAGATACAATCTTTCCTAAGATATAGTTTTAAAAGTTACAAAATCTTAGATCCTACTGAAGCACCTGGCTTTTTTTGTTTTGTTTTGTTTTGAGACAGGGTCTCACTATGTTAGTTTAGGCTGGTCTTGAACTCACTGTGTAGCCGAGGTTGGGCTCGAACTTCTAGTGATTGTTCTGTCTCAACCTCCCAAGTACTGGGATTACAGGCGTGAGCCACCATGCCAAGCCAAATCACCTGTTTCTTAAGGCTTCAAAGATATTTTCAATGTTTCTCAAAACTACAAATGTCATGATATTCCTAAATGAAAAAGGTATTGGCTAGCCTCCTGCCTTTGGTCTAAGGCCAGCAGAATTCTCTCAATTTAACTGAAGCCTAGGAGCCCTCAACCTCCCTTGTAGTTCCAGAGAGATCAGAAAATTGTTAGACATATTGCTCCTATGGTAAGAGGTATCTTTCATCATGTAATCTTCTCCACAGGAGTCCCACCAGGTGTAGGTGGAACTCAGTTTGGGACTGCTCCCAACGCTCCCCAGAGTCATCTTTTAGCTTTCGATGATGATAAGCCCTTGGAAGCTCTAACGAATACAGACCTTTGGGTCATAGGAATTAAATGGTCGCAATTACTGACATGAATGAAATGGTTGTAATTACTGACATGTCTTCTCAATACTGGTTTATAGCTCTAGCATAAGACTATCAATGTGAGTTTTGTGATATCCATATTTATAACAGGAGGCATGCTAGCATTCTAAAGAAGTGTCCCAGAAAAAATTGTGGTATTTCCATAGTATTTGTGTGTGTGTGTGTGTGTGCAGTCCTAGGGATTGAACCCAAGGCTTGTACATGCCAGGCAAGTGCTCTACCGCTGAGCCACATCTCCAACCCTCATTTATAAAGCTGTAAGAGTGTTTGCATGTTATTTTCTTTCCTACTTTCCCTTCTCTGAAGAGGGGAATATGTCTACATTAATCTACAATAAGCTGAAAAAAACACTACTAGGATATATTTGTCTAAATGTGACCCAGCCCAGGGGAGGTGAATTTTATCAAGCTGGGTATTTACCATAAAGTCTTTCCAAAATTCCAAGACTCTGAAAACAGAACAACAGTTTTTAGGCTATAATATCTCTTGCCCCAACATGTGAAATGGAATTCTAACATTAAGTATGGACTTTTAGAGAATAGAAAATCTCTAAACATATACCAATTTTAATTACAGTAGTCCTCTAACTCTGGTTTCACTAACCTTAGTTTCAGTTATTAAAGGTCAATCACAGTCTGAAAAAATTAAATGAAAATTTGAAGAAATGAACAATCCATAAATGTTAAATAACTTTTATTAGTATATTGCAAGTTTTCTATTTTATTAGTAGTGTTGTTAAACTTTCACTATACCTGATTCATAAGTTAAATCTTATTATAGGTATGTATGTATAGGAAAAAACATAGTATATGCATAGGATTTAGTACTATCTGCAGTTTTATGATTTCCCTACAGGTCTTGAAATGTATGTCACCAAAATAAAGGGGACACCTATAATAAAATAGATTTGTGTGCGCTGAATGGTTAAAATTTAAGTCTTCATACTTACATATATCTCAAGTACCAGGCAGCTATCCAGAACCATCTGAGAATAAAAGTAAATTTTTTTTGTTTTCCTACCTAACTTAGAGAATAATAAATAAATAAATGAGCAATTGTTTTATTTTAAAATATATAATCTAAACATATCCAAATAATTACATTTACATACATATTTTAAATATATACACTGTACAGATACATACACATATCAATTCATAAATACCAAAAAGTTCTTATAAAAATTTTATCTGTGAGCCAATTCAACGAATAAATAAGGGAGACTAAAATTTATGAATATTTGGACAGACCATGTGAAGATTGTGGGCTTTGTACTTAATCACTTAATACTTAGAATTACTGGGCTGAGGATTTAGCTCAGCAGCACTGTGCCTGCCTTGCAAGTACAAGGTCCTAAGTTCAATCCCCAGTACCAAAAAAAGTACTTAGAATTACATTTTTAGGCCTAATAACAGAGACATTATCAAATATCATAAATATAATTAAATAAAAGTGATTTCTTACTGAACACTGGGAAAGATGTGTTTCCTTTTAACACCTGGAATTCTTGTTCTAGTCGTCTCCGTAAGTCTATTTGTTCAAATAAAACCTTCTGAAGTTCTTCTAACAGAGAAGAAAAGAAGAGCCATTTTACTAATCTTTACAAATAACTCTCCAGAGAACTATTATATGTGGCAATTTATTATTATAAGACAAAATATTTTACCAGTTTAAAAAGTGTTGTGTAGACATAGGATAGATTTTGTGCAGAAATCCATGAATATAAATCAATGTAATATATTATTTTAAAGTATTATATTACAGTGTCATGTATTGATTGATATGTATGCATTAATCTCAATTATATCCACCCAATGGTCCATATATTATTCATATGTTGCTTGTCAAGCTTAAAATATGGTGTAGCACAAAAATATCCTCTTATCTCCACAGTCTTTTAAAGCTAAGAGAAGTTCTGCAATATTAAAAAGTTTTCTTTACCTTTCCCCATATTTTCTACATCCTTTTTGAGTGAATGAGGTGAATTGGTTTCTTGAGTGTGTTCACCTTTAAACAAGGAAGAGAAAATATTATTGTATATGAGCTATTTTCTGAAAGTTTTTCTTTTCATTTTCTTTTAAAAGCTGCAAAAGAAGTTGTTTAATGTATCCTGAAAGTAGAAATCCTCAGAACCCAATGTAGCTCTCATTAGCTCCTTTACAATTCCTGGAACCAGAAAGGGGAGCCACAGAAGTGAGGGCAGAGTGCATGGCCTGTGCATAACAGTTCGGTGAGCACCAAGTCCTGAAGTTAACTCCTCTCCAGATTCCCCACCATTATTCAACTCCTATAATAAAGGCAATTCCTGAAACGGGCCAAAGAGGCTGGCCAAATCAAGTTTTTGCGTCAGCATTCCTTCCCTTCTTGAATTGAGGGAACCTGTTTTTGTTTTTGTTTTGTTTGTACCGGGATCGAACTTGTGGGTCCTTGAGCTTGCGAGGCAGGCGCAGGAACCACTGAGCTAAATCCCGGGCTGAGAGCCTGATTTTAATTAGATGGCTCTCAAAATAGCAGAGGCAGACTCCTCCTAGAATTTTTTGGTCTCCAAAATTTGGAACAGTGATAAAGAAGTTGTGGGGGGGGCTAGAATTGTGGTTGAAGTCAGCCTGGAGGGGTTGCCTGGTGACTGGTGAGTTGGTTTTTAAAAGCAACCTAAAATAGAGCTATAAGTTAATTGTTAGTTTGTAAATAGTCACTTGCTTGCTGATATCTCTTAACTATTCACCTTAGATTAATAAAAATTATAATGTGTGATCACAGGGGTACAGCTCAGTGGTACAGCACATGCTTAGCATGCATGAGACCCTGGATTCAATGGCCAGTAACAACAACAACATAAACAACAACAACAACAAAAACGAACCAAAAACTCATCTGTATTATGAATAACAGCAAGGTTGTTGTTTGCATCTATTTTGCTTATGTGCTAACTAGAATGATGGCAAGCCATAAAAAGTGTTTACCTATAGTTCATCAAGTCTACATAATCCAGGAAAATCTAAATAAATCAAAGAAGTCCAATCATTCAGCTAAACAGATAATTGTATTTTCAAATTTCCAACTGATTTCTGCAATAGCCACCTAATTTAATTGTTTTCTGTTTTTGTTTAAAGAGGTCCCATAGTACAGATAAAGGCATTCTGAACAGGTTTTAAGTATTCCTTCTTCCCCATTTCCAGGGGCCAGACATCTCCCTGTGTCTCCAGAGCATGCTGCATAGGCCTTGGGCATAGTGCTGTTTACTTATTCTGCTAGGCATTCACTAAGTTGTGTGCTACTTGGAGCCAGGGTCTCTGTTTTCCCTGTATGACCAGTGCCTAACACAGTGTTGGACACACAATAAACCTTCAATAAAGTATCTTCAGTTATTACTGAAAGGAGCCCCAGGACGTTGTAAATTCTAAAGTATGGCATGGGCCAGAATTCATTTCAATTCTCTCCTCACTGTTTATTCATTTCCCTAAGCTAAAAAAGGAATATAATGGCCCCAGGCACTTGTAGGAATACTGGGAGATTTCACTGTCAACGTAAAAATTTCTATAAAGAGGGAAACAGAACTTCTCCCCAAAGCAGTGACCTATACTACAGTATCATGAACAGACAGGTAAATTCTCAACAGGATATTGTAAATGGCAATTCTGCATTCCACCTGATGACTATCAGGAGTGCTGCATGCACACACATGCATGTGCATGCTTGTGTATTCTTAAATATATCTACATAACATATACATATATGCAAATGTTTCAGAAGAATGCATAGTTGATAATACCTTTGGCATCCCCAAATTCCTTAATGACAAGCACCTTCTCCAATAGCTAGATCACATTTACGTAACCTCATTGCCACTCATTTTGGTACACGCTGACCTCTCCTTAAAGGTTCAGGTATTCCTTAATACATTAGCTGTCTCCATATAATAAGAAAATAATGAAGAAATATTTGTGAAATATTTTAAATATAGAGTTCAATATAATTCCTAAAACTACTATTATATAAAAGAAGAGTAACACGATGGTTGACAACAAATTATTAGTATGTAAACCCAACATAATGGTATTTTGAAATGGAGATAGATGCATATAATGTTCAGTTTTTCCTGTTTAGCCTCAGTTAACCAATTAAACATGTAGACATTTCATACTCATACCCAATACTGAATCTGAACAAATGAAGAAACAAACATACACACATCTCTACACTTATCTACAGAGCACAATGGGATTATACCATTCTATTTTATTAACTACTCAAAACACGACTTAAACCTGATCATCTGTTTCTGAATAAGCAAATCTAGAAGCCATGTCCTTATCAAACTACAGATCAGATTATTTTGATTTGTTAGTATATTTTGTGGACTGTTTATCTTATATCAAACTTCAATTTGATAATTAAATTTAAAAATTAAAACATGATATATAAGAATACATTTCTTTTCCACCAGTCAGTAGCTTCACATGGACATGAAACCTTCAAACAAATTGCTAATAAATGAAACCGCATTAACCACAGGAAAATCTACTAATGACATTAATAATGAGTTTTTCTTCTCACCATTTTGGGAAGGTTTGGTTAGTATTTTGCGTCCGTGTCTACTGCAAGGAGATATTTGACTGCAGTCCAGAGTAAAATCTGCCAATTTGAAGCTTAGAGATTTAAGTGTCTCACTTAACATAGGTTTTTTTTAAAGTGGTTATATATTAGATAAATAAAGAGCACAGAGTAGCTTTGACTGCCTTTTGTGCATGTTTTACTGGACTGTTGCCTTTTGTATATTACTAATCTGTGAAAACCAGATTGTTAATGGTGGTTAAAAATGACCTCTGGGAGCCTGGATGTTTGTTCACTATTACTGCTAATGTTTTCCATCTGGTTAAAAAAAAAAGCAGTCTAATACTAGATTAAATAAATGTGATTTCATTGACAATGAGCTCCCAATTTTTATAAATATTCCATCAGGTTAGACGCATTTCATTTTTAAAAATTAATAAATGGGTTTGGGGAAATGCAAACATTAAAATGCTTACTTTCCTTCTTACACACTCCACCTTTTTTTAAAGTTACAAACAAGGTGGGAGGAAGAACAGAGCTATTAATCGTGTAGAGATATAGGAAAGAACATTGTATGTGGAAGGAAAGTCTTTCTTGCAGGCCTGGGCTCAAACATGTCTTAGGTCAGACAGTAGAAGAAAACAGTTGAGTGGTTTAAAATTAGAAAGCTGCAAGAAATCAGGGCATAAAATATATCCTGTGGGTGGATGTGACTAAAAGCTGCTCCTCAGCATTGTGACTATACCAGTCCTCAACCAGCGCACCTTTGCAGGACCAGTTTGCTGTCACCTGCATGGTCTCCAGAAGGCCTGCTTGTGCCAGAGGATAGGGGCAGCACCGTGCCACATTAGAGAAACCCCACCGCTGCTTGTGTGGCCAGAGGCCACAGCCAGCCAGAGGCCACAGCCAGCCAGAGGCTCCTGCCTTCCTGTTTTCTCCCAGGTCCTCCAGCAGCAGGTGGTCTCACGTTCTAGGTGAATGCTCCACCCACTCCTGGCTCCGCCCTCACCCAGCCATCAGAAAGTGAAGTACAAAAGGGTTGGGAGTGAAAAGTGTCATGCTGTGGAGTTTTTGAGCACTAAATAGCAAATGAAGAGAGGACTAGAATTTATAGATTAAAAAAAAAGAAAATAAAAAGTCAATAAATGCCTTCACACTGTCTTTCAAAGCACAAGAGCAGCTATGTTCTCTTAAATATCACTGCACATCTCTGCTCAAAAACCTGCAATGGCTCCCCTGCTCCATTTAAAAAAATCTTTATTAAGTTTATTGGTACATTTTAGGTATACAGTAGAGTTACATTCATCACTGGGATCTTGTACCTTTACATGATTTATCTTGGTTCTTATATTTCCCCATTCCCCAGCCCTCCCTTCAGCCCCTCCACACTTCCCTGTTTACAAAGACATTGTTTCCATGTTTTTCATTTTCACATATTTTTCTTTTCCTTTTACCTTTCCCCTGCTGCTCCTACTTCCTCTACTCTTTTAGACCTTTTCTTCCTATTACACAATATCAATTATACATTTTGATCCCTACTTACACTTTCAGTTTTTCACAACAGAGAAACTATTCGGTATTTACACTGTGACTTATTTTCATTTAAGAGTATGGCCTCAATGTGCACTCTGCTCCATGTTAAAGAATCCATTTAAAATCCTTCCCTTAGAGCTTCCAGGTTCTCCCAAAACTGTGACCCACCTGATAAGACAAACTGCCTTTACTGCCAACACAAACCCTTGGTTGTAAGTAGGTCTTTACTTCTTACTTGTGCTACATGGTTCTGTCCTTACATTGTTTCTCTTCCCTTAAGTGCTCTTCCCTCTCTCATCCCAAACCAGAATGCCATCCAAGTCCCTCTATCTCCCCAACATCCTTATGTTGAAATCCTAATCTCCAAAGAGATGCTACTCGGAGGGGCAGCCCTTGAGTAATGATTAGGACATCAAGGCAGAAATTCATGAATGGAATTAGTGCACTTATAAGAGGAACCCCAGGGTGCTGTCTCTCCTCTTCTCTGCCATGTGAAGATATAGCAAGAAAATTTGTTATCTATGAATAAACAGATGCTGAATCTGGTTGTGCCTGCATCTTGGACTTTTTAGCCTCCAGAAGTGTGAGAAATAAATGCTCACAACAGTGGTTTTGTTATAGCAACTTCACTGTACTGAGACACTTGTCTTCCATAAGACTTTTCAGCGTCATAAAATGCTACTAATCACCCCTTTGGGACTGAAGTTCTAAGAGCCTAGCATATTTCCTCTGCCTCTTTGAACCTGATGTTCAAATGTTTCACCCTATTATTAGTCTGCTATTCCTCAGATAAAAAAACAGGCTTTCTGAGGATCTATAGGGAGAGCCTGACAGGTAACCCTTATGCTAGGGAGAGGTATACATGTGTTCCAAAAATACTTGCTGAATTTAATTTATCTCAACTTCTGAAAAAAATTCAA